CCTTCAATTTAGCAAATTATCGGCACAACAAGATCAAAAATTGTCTAAGCACTTCCACATCATCCAGAACAATCTGGATTTCATCGATAACCAGGTTCAATTCTTTCCCAATATTTTCTCTCTTTTATAATTTTCTTTTCCCAGAAGGGGCATCACAAGGCTCAAAATAAGGAATGGGCTCTAGGAATACGAACCCTCAATTGGACACGAGGAACAAAGACCCTTCACTACTGAGCTATACCCGATTCTGCAATACTCTTTCCAATATATTAACCCCCCCCCCCCCCCCAAAAAAAAAAAAAAAAAAAAAAAAGCTCCCACCAGATCCTGGAAACCTAGAAAACTAAAAACTAATACAAAAGCAAGCTAAGGTTTACCTGGGAGGCAAGTAAGACTATATACTAAAAACCCATTTTCTACTATTCACAAGATATTAAATCTTGGTGCCTAACTGCATAAAGGGCGTGATTTCAATCCTAACAAAATTCTTGACATTATAAAAAACAAAAAAAAAAAAGAACCGTGTTAATCATAACAGCTGAAATGAGCAAGAAATAGTGAAATTTATAGAGAGGAAGAAACATTACCTGGATTGAAGGGTTAGCAGAAAAACCCTAGAGGAATCTTGAGGAGAAAAACCCCAGGTTTCAAGAATTTGCAATTTATCGGCTTTTGACTGAACTGTGATAATTTTTAGGGCTTTTATACTGTAGTAACGGTCAAGACAGTATTGGAAACAATTTGTGCGTATTTTGAGCCTGGATGGGGCAGGACAGTCAGTGGGTCAAATTTTGAGGCCCAATCTAAGCCCTTTTGTTACACATTGGGTTTGCGGCCGAAATTGGACTGGCCTAAAAGGTTTAATTTGTCATCCGTAGAATTTACTTGAAGATATATCTTTGTCCAAGAGAGAGACTAATGGCTAGTTTGCGAGTTTGGGATAGAAAAGAAAAGATGGGAAATGTTAAAGAAAATAAATAAATAAAGTTTGATGTTGTTTGGAAGTTTAGGAAAGAAATGGAATGATTTTAGACATATACGTCATTAAAATTGTATTCAATGGCCATCTAAGGATAGAATTAGCAATTAAAAAAAATTTAGTGAGATTCTCTCAACTTTCCATTGTTTTCCCCCCACATATTTGGGTCGAAAACCTTATTCAATTGTAGCTACAAAAGTATTCTTTCAAATCAGTTGGTTTCTCTTCTTTTGCATCCTTGAAAATCTCTCGAATGATATAAATCTTCCTCAATCTGCCATTTTTCTTTCTTTTCTGTTGAAATCTCAACTTCTAAACAAGTTGTAAGAGTTGAATGTAGTGATGCAGGTCTCATCTTCTCTATGAATTTCAAGTGCAATTTAACATCTTTGTAAGGGGGTGTTCAAATTTCCAAAAAAATTGAGAAATTGGTCGATTCAATTTAGATCAGTTATCAAATATCAATAAAATGAATTCCTGATTAGCGTTTGAATTATTGAATTTTATATGTTAATAATATATTATTTGTATTAATTCCTACTAACGTACTGTACTATATGCTAATCCACTGCTAAATAATGTTATAAATTATAAGGATTAATCTTGTACATACTATTAATATATATAAGATTTATTCAAATTAAATTAATCATGTTTAAACTGACAGTGTATATATACTGACAGTTTTAGATGAATGACAACTATACAAATTTAAATTTGAAATCTAACTTTTACACATGTGTCAAGGATCAAACAATGATAATGCCGTCAATGTATATAAAATTTATTCAAATTATCTATACCATATATAAAAAAGGAGAGAGGGCTTTTGGCATCAACAAAAATCGGTCATTTTATATACTTTCAAAACTACTATTGATAACTACCCACTATCAATATGGCTTTATACCAAGCAACGTGTAAATTTTCATATTCTCATTTTAAATTATTCAATAAATGTTATAATTTGTATTAGCAACTACCGCCTATAGTTACAAATTACTACCAAATAACTATTTTTTATACATTTTATATCTGTAAATTTTCTATGTTTGTTTTGTCAAAATATAAAGTCAATTTTCTTAAACATAATTTCAATAAAACTCAAAAAATTCTACAAATATTTTTCCTATTAGTTGTACACACATTAGTGTGTGCCTGGAACACTAGTAATTTATAACTCATGATACAATAAACTTATTTTTGAACTTTTATTTGTATTTTTTATGTGATGATGGGAGGAAATTCAAGATTTCTTATTTACTTTTTAAAGTTTTAGATATCACTAAATTACGGATTATCTGACTAAAATTCAATTACTAACATCCAATTTATCAAATTAAAGTTTGGATAGAAAATGGATATCGGTCTTGTAGGAAAAAAAATAAAAAAATTAATATTTTTAACAAAATTCTCGATTACCAGCTACATCCTTATTAATATGCTTTTTTTTTTTTTTTCTAAATGTCCATTCAAAAGCTTGGGAACGAGCTTTGCCATTATTGAGGGAATGGATGGGTTTGACAGTTTAGGAGGAGGAAGTGTAAATAAAAAGTTTCGGGTTCGATCTCTCACACTTAGGGTCTGTTTGATAATATAAAAAAGTGTTGAATCTGAATTTTTTCAGACATTCAGATGTTGTATGTATTTTTTTCAGCACTTGGATGTTCAGATGTTTTTTAGGTGTGTCCCGCAGGGAGTGGACCCCGCAGACTATTCACCACCCTCAGCAACTTGCTGGCAGCAAGGTTCGAACCAGGGACCTGAAGCTCCATCTTCAGCAACCTCAACCACCAGACCAAGCCCCTGAGGGCTTGTTTGTTAATTATGTTCAAAATTTTTATCTAATTAAACAATATAATATTCTCTATCTAACGATTTTTAGTTTCTCTTTTCTCCCTTTTTAATGACTTTCACATCTTCTCCATACTCATCATATAATATATTTCATATTTTATATTAATTTGATTTAAAAATAAATATTATCATTTTCATACCTAACAATTTTAAACTAATTAAATCATAGATTCTATTTCTTTTTTGAATGAAAGGATATAAGGGCAAAATTGTCAAATTAAACTTATTAATCATTCAGCTATAAATATTTATCAAACAGTATAAATAGGTTTAGCATTAAAATTCAGACATTCATATATTTTTTTCAGTGCTTAATATTCAGCAAATTAATTGTTTCAGTATTCAGATTTCAGAATTCAAACTTCAGAATTCAGATTCAGTTTTATTAAACGGAACCTTACACTTAAAAAAAAATTAAAAGAAAAGGAGCTTGGTCATCATCATGGTTTTCACACATGCAAATATAGATTCACAATTAAAGCATCAACAGTTAACAGATTTCATAATTAAATGCTACATGAATTTAAATAATCATTAATGTAAAAAGGCTCTTTCTTGACTTTGGTTTTATTAATCTGATTTCATCTCAAAATTTTAGTCTTGGATGCTATATATTTCTGACTTTTTTCATATATTCAGGAATTGAGACTAGGTTTTGGCTTAACCTAATTTAGTGTTGGCAAATTAGGCGTTGTTTTAGATACCTTATTAACATGTTTTCAAAGATTGTTGCTTGTTTTTCCTTTGAGACGACAGTCATTAAGCATGTTTCTATGGTTATTTTAATCTTCTACGATTTTTCTATCAAAAAATTCTTATCATTGTTGTTGTGATGATCAAGTCTTTCCTTTGAGGTCTTAATTGCAGAACATTGAAGTTTTGAAGTAGAACTTTTACGGGTAAAGAAATTTAGCGGTTGGTGTGCGTTTAAATAAAATGTTGGAGGAATGAATTGTGGCAGTGGGATTTCACTATGCAAGAAATTTTATTAATTCCTTTCTTCTTCTTCCTTTATCCTTTCTTATTCTCTTCCTCTCCCCTCTTCCGGGTGAGGAAAACCCTTGGTGATTCAACTCAAGTGAGTAGCTAGGAGCTTGGAGAACTTGGTATCAATGCCAGAAGCTGCCACTATCAAAATGGAAGGTAATTTTTACTATATTTTGATAGTATTATTAGTTAAACAAGTTAATAGTATATTTTAAATATATTGCATAGTCCAACTTTCGTTTTTCATTGTACTTCTTGTAGTATTTGACATTACTAATACCATAGCCTACTAATTTTTGGATATTGTATAATTTGATTACTTTTTGACACATGTATTTTTAGAAATTTATAATTTACAACTACTTTATAATCATTTGTGCGAACCATAGTGGTTAAATGTTGAAGTTTTATTTAGATGAGAGGTAATTTTTAACATATTTGATAAAACCATTACTCAAATAATTTCTTTTTCCTTTTTAGAATTTTTACCATATGGGGTTGTGTCTGGTTTTGGCCCATTGATGAGGTTTTGATACATCAATAAAATAGCTAACTTGGTTTTTTTTTTTTTTTGAAAAAAGAACAATTAGATAGTTGTTTTTACTATATTTGACAGTACTATTTTTTATTTTCATAGTACTTCTTTTTGTATTTCACAATACTAATATTATTGCTTAATGATCTTTTGAATGCTAAAAAAAATTTAACAATTCATTTGCACTATATAGTCATGAAATATGTCATTTACAACAATTTCATCATTATTAATGCAAACAGTAATGATGAAATCTCACAATACTATTAAGATGGAATGTAGGTTTTACCATATTTTGATAGTATTATTAGTCAAACAATTATATAGTACATTTTTAGTATCCTAACAAGACTAGTTGCAATTTTCACAGTACTTTTTTTAGTATGTGATGGTACTCTTTTTTTCTTTTTTTTTTTTTCATAACTTTATCACCACCTTCATATAGGCAAAATTTAAGCCAACAAGGAACGTGTTACAGATGATCAAAACCACTTGATTAACCTACTCACTAACAAAGAACACATAATATTATGTAGTCTATCGAACATTTCAAGGAACACAGATATAAATAAGATAACTTAAAAACAATCGCTAAAACTAGTTGTACATGAACCTAAATTTAGCAGCATTTGCTGTTTGCAGCTATAGAATCGAAAATTCAACATGTGAAGGTATTAATCCCTCGAGCTGTTGCTTGGCACAAAATCTAGCTAACTTTTCCTGCTTCTTTTCCCTGCGCGTTTTGGGCGAATTGACTTTACGTGGATCACGAGGGTCAATTGTAAGTTTCTCGACGACAATAGCATTGTCGAGAAAGTATTCAACAAGTTTTAGTTCACTTCTGCGACCATAGTATCCAAGTAACTCGACCTCTTTCAGATGTTGGAGCGGAAAGCTGGCAGCTTTCTTCAACTTTCTATCTCCCCTAACCATATCATTCCACCATGATTCCAACTTCAGCACAAACTTCTCCAAGCTGGGCGAAGGCCTGATCAAAGAAGTAAATCCAATCAAACTGTCATCTTTTGATGCAAAAGCTATTAAGACGAACTCTTTCAGATTGGTAAGTTGAGGAAGCTCATGAACAATTCCGTTTTCCTGTGAAACTTGAAGCTCTTTGGCACGTAAAGTAAGAATCTCTAGTTGTGACAAGCAGCAAAAAAGCCAAGAAATAACATCCCTAACCAAGAAACCCATATGAAGAGGTGATTTCTGGTTTGGTGAGCTGTGCCGACCAGTTGGGGATTTCTTCCTAAACGGGGTGCAGCTACCTCAAGAATCACATGCTAAGATTACAAGAGACGGGGCTATGTCTCCCCGATTCTCCTCCGACGGTCTAGTTAGTTTGGATAAGAGTCAAAGTGGAGGGAACTATTGAAAGTGATTCTTACAGAATATTCAGTTGCAGAATATTCAGTTGGGCCCTTCTGAGCGAGGGGTTTTGATATTTATATGAGACAACTTGGAGGGAAGGATAGTGGGATCCAAGTTTCCAAAATCTGACTGAGATTGAGCGTATCAGCTTGATTTGACAAATCAGTGCAGTAGATAAGTCCTGTCAGATGTCACGTTCATCCTGTAGGTATCAGAATCTTGGACATGACCTCAGTTGTCATGTCAGACATAGTGCCAAACGAAGATGAGAGTAAATGTAGGAGCCATCTCTGTCATCCATGTGCAGCGTGTAACCGAGGTGACTAGAATGGATAAGGGCTATCCCCAGAGGTGAGAGGATTATTTAGGTACGACTGAGCCGATGTGACCATTATAAACGTCCATAGGCAGGTAGGAGGGCTTGGCTTGGTAAGCCGAGCCGGGATGACCATCCTCACCATACATTCACAAGCATGGGGACATTGTGAAGTAAAAGATGATGTGCTGCAGTAGTTTTAAGGGAGACTAAATTTGTGTCGCTGACAATAATGGATTGTAACCTCAAACAGCTGCATACCTCCAGATATTTCAAGGCAATAGATGGACCACAAACTCGAAGGTTGATCAAAACTGAAGAGCCCCCCACTACCAGGCGCTCAAGAAATGGACAGTCGATAAAGAAAAATTCTAGTACCTCCACAGTTACATTCAAACTTTTCAAACTCAATGCTCTAAGGGACTTGAAGCCAATCTGTGCATGATGATGGATTTCAGGGTAACCAGGTTGAGATTTGCCACTGCTACAGCGAAGAAATTCATGATAAAAAGTATATGATTCTGGAGAAGAAGGCGGGCTATCATCTGGAAACAGGTCCAATTCTAGCCTTTGCACTCTCCTTGCAAATGCATGCTGAAGCCATTTATGAGTCTCATCTCCATAAAAATTGTCCAAATAAAAAGCAACTCTCAAATAATCTAATGCCAAAGACTTTGTCTGGTTGGAGCAGCACCTTGTCAACCCATTCAATATACTTACGCCTTTCCTTTATAACAAAGTCCAGATACCTTGCCCCGTTGCGCATTGAGACCATCTTCTTTAGCACTTTCGAAGCATCAAAATCAAGGCAAGCCATAGACCTCCACAGATCTATCCAACGCTATGAAAGAACACTTGTTCTGGCAGCTTCTTTTGGCGTTAAACAAGACAGAATATAAACGAGGATTTCATCCGGAAGCTGACTAAGCTGATCCTTGAGGGGCTGCCTTGTCTTTGGACACTTCCTCGGTCCAAAACCAGTGGCAAGTATTGCCCTTGATTCCATCAAGATCAAAATTTTCTGCTACCTTTCCCCTGCTGCAGCCCACCATCGAGCCAGGGGAGATAAGTACAACCACCGTTCTAAATGCCCGGTATCCACTACTCAAATAATTAGGTAATAGCTTTTTATAATATTCAAAGGTACTTTTTTTTATTTTCATAATGCTTCTTTTTATATTTTACGGTGCTAATACCATAGATTAATGATCCATTGAACACCAAAACACATTTAACAATTTATTTGACGGTAATGGACTTATAAAATCGGTCTCTTACAACTATTCCATGATCACTAACATAACTACTATATCCCATTTAATATAAAAAGTTTTTACTTGTTTATTGCGTTTTAATTTATATTGACATAATCAACAACATATAATATAATTTTTTAATAATATTATAAACTTTTAGTTTTTATTTTTGTTAATACAAAATAAAATTGCTATTACCTTCTCATATATGAAATAATATCATATGAATTTCTTATAGTTTACAGTACTTCCTTTGTGCCCACGGATCTTATGGCATTGGCATTAAAAAATATAATTATTTTTTGAAGAAACAAATTAATAGTTTATTTTGTTACTTTGATATCCTACATGATAAGACATAGATCTTTATCCCCCATCCACCATGGATGGAGTAGCTCATGTGAACCAAAAAAGAACAAAAAAACTATAGATCTATCACACAAAATGATAATCATAATCTATTATAGCAGGTTGCCAAGTATTTGGGAGGAAATTTACCATGTAGCAAACTCCATATGACCAAACGATGTGGCATCTATGTATTGGATTTGTATTGAGGGAATGACTTCCCTTGAAAACACATATGGTACTGTAGAATTTCCCAAAATATAGATGTACAAGAAGGAAATACAGTGACAACTTGACTTCCAAGTTCATAATGTGATTCGAGTAATTTCTAAGCTGAAGCAGCATTAAATCCGCCTCCTAAACCACAACCTGAAACATTCATGTTTCTTTTTCTCTTTCTTTTGTCAAAACATTATAGATCGCGTAATGAAGATAAGCAAAAAATGACAGAACAAAACTGAATGAAGACAACCCCTTTCTGAGTCTGTTCGATGAATATGAAATGATAACTCATCCAGCCCCTATTTGCTGAATTCATAGACGTTGCACAGTACTTGCCAATTTAATCGCTCTCGGAAAGCAGGACAAACAGCTCCTCATCAGTGATTGCTCCCATTTCCATAGCTCTTTCCAAAGCACTAAGGCCTCCAGCATCCCTTATTGATGCACGTGCACCTCTGAAGAACATACATGTTAATATACCACATGATAGTGGAAACAAGGATATAATACCACCTTCAAATTTGAAAACAATTACAAAGATTTCTACAGATGCAAAAACACAAACGAGATTTTTATGGCTACCATTCATGTTAATGCTGAAGTCAACTGCTCCAGCTGCAGGTTAATTAACAAGGGACATTCAACATGGCTGGGAACCTATATTGGGAGAACATAAACAATAGACGAAAAGTTTTTAAGCGCTAGCCAAAACTAGAAGTTTCTTATGACTTTATACTTCAGGTCTAGAAGAATCTCATTTTCTGTAAGTTACAGTTGGAAAAGGATGAATGACCAGTCTGAGGTTTCCAAACGCACAGGAAGTAAAAGATAAGAAATAATGTTTGAACGTTGGAAAGCAGAATACTAGTGCATTGAGAAGATTGGCAACATATTCTTAACATGTTCAGGTTTAAAAGGCTAACCATGCAGAAATAAAGAAGTTGGACATAATTATGAGACATTAGACCATCCTGCAATTGAAATCAAACATCCGAGCTACAACACTACGTAGCACAAAATTCTTTATGGTCCAGAAAGAGACAAATAGAACTAGCATAGTTGGATAACAGTTCATAGAAAGTCAGACCAGAAAATCCATTAGCTTCTCAAAGAGGCAATAAATTGCCCTTCCGCTTAACAAGTCCTTCGTCGTGTCTTGGGCCTCAAAAAAATCTAACCAATCTCAATGAAATTTTACTTCAATTAAAAGAATTTATAATGGAAGCTAGGGCATAATGTATATTTGATTCAATAGCTTTGCTAATTAATGATGCTACCAGAAAACCTGTATGGGTAACCTCTATCTTAAAGCAGGACAAACTTATCTTGCTTAAAACTTCATAAAGATAGAGCCATTCCGGAATATTAGTTATTCCAATTAAGGTTCTCTCCTTTTCTGCTTTCATATCATTTTGCGTCTCCAATTTTATTTGTGTAGTTGGCTCCCTTAATTATGAAGCTGATGGATATAGAAGGATCAGGCTGGAAACAAATCAACCAGCAATCAATGAGTCACCATTTATTTCAGCTCGAACCCAGCATAGTGATTAATGTATTGCACTATCTAAGAGAAAAGAGAACCAAAACACAGGCACTGAACCAAAATGAGCAATAATTTTGAAGCAGGCTGCCAGAGAATTAAAACCAAGCATTTGGTTCAAACACTAACATACAGATTAGGTTTAGAATGCGACCTGTACTAAAATGGCATCTGATGATACTCATAAATGTCTAAACCTATGCTTTATCAAGTCCCTGTATACTATAAAGATGCACAGAACCACCATAATACTTCAAGAGGCTAATAAGAAAAGATTCTAAATCAGCCTGTGGCAATCCCAAAACAAAGTTCTACTACATGACATAAACCAAAAACAGAAAAGGGTTTAGAAAAAGAAGTAGAGCTGTTTGTTTTATGTTATCCATGTTTAGTCTCTGAAGCAATCTAAAAAGCAAATCCTAGTGGTCCAATCCATCAACAAGCAAAAGTCTCTCTCAAAAGAAAATCCATAAAGGAACATATTGTCCCAAATAGCAAGAGATGTGTTCTCGATGCAAAACATTCTGTACCGTTTTATCAAAGAAAAATGTGCAAGAAAACTGTGTTACTTTAGGGTGCGTGTTTCGGATTTTGAATGCATCATCAATTTAAGGTGTAATAAATTTCTAACAATAACTCTCAATGAAATTACTGCTGATGCACAACACTAATACCCCTTTGCATTGATCTTTCAGCTTCTTGTCCAGCACATTGACATCAAATTCATTTATATAGATTAATGATAGGCAACCAATCAAAACAGAGAAAACCAATTTCTGCATTTCCCTCTTCCTCCCTGACAACCTCCCTTCCAGACTGAAAGTGCAATATAAAGAAAGCATCAATTGACAAGAGTTGTATCTTTTGTTTCTTTTTGGCTCAGGACTCATAGAGAATTATTTTTCTTCTCATTTCTGAAATGCAGCAATAAGTAATATCATTTTTTTTTTCGAGTTAATAATAGTAACAGAAGAGTTACCTTCTAAGCAACAACTTTGCCAGATGGCTGTTCCCCCTGGCTATACAGTATTGCAAAGGAGTTCTTCCATGGAAATCACACCAGTTTATATCAGCACCAAACTGCAGTAGCAGTTCCAGCATTACTGCATTGCCTGTGTGGCAGGCTAGATGCAGCAAGGAAGATCCCTGAAGGCAATTTCCAGCTTCACTAGAAGACTTCAAACAATCTACTGGATGATAATTTTTCTCTTCAAAATTGCTGGAGCCTTGTTCGGGGTCCCCTCTCTGAACATTATGATACAGATTGGCACCAGCTACCTCATCATAGGTTGAGTTGATAATATTTGCATTTGACACCACGATTAATCTATATACTTCTTGCAAATTGTTGTCCAACACTGCTTCCCAGACTCTAGTGGCTAGAGAGTGATTACTAGAGGTAGTAGCCTCTTTATTCAGGAAGAGTTTTTCAACGTACTGAAGAAAAGACCACAGTTATGCTTTGTTAATAGATCATTGAATCACAGTGAAATATTTCACTACAACAATAAAAAAGAACGATCATTTATATCACATTAGCTGTAAAAAATTTGCAGCACTTGGAAATGAGTTCCATATCGACCAATCTTAAATCATGACCAAAAAAAAAAGAAAAAAGAAATATGTAATGAAACAGCAAGTGCAAGAATTTTATCTTGATTGAAAGCCAAAATAATCTAGAAATGCTAAAAAAGAAAAGGAAAAAGTTCGGTTCATAATTCCAAAAGAATGTCTTGAAATGGTCAATGGTTTGTTAATTTTGTTGAAGTGTGATGACAACTTCTAGATTTTCTAAACAACACGATGATCTTCAAGAATAAGAAATTCAGTACTACTTGGGTAAGTTTTATTTCTGCCCTATCTATGTCTCCTTTTTTTTTTTTGGCTGTTTGCTTTTCCTTTTCTAGGTTGGGAAGGACCATAAATCCCTAGATCAAAAGGATGATACCAGGAGAAGATAGCAGATTCATCAATAAAATGCTGAAGATATCATGTAAGCTAGGAGAATGAAACATCAACTCTAAGCGTAACCAGGATTTCCTGTCTTGGCAATTAACTGACTGGAATAATAGGTATAGGTCAGAACCTAGCTATAGAAAGAAGTTGGGGAGAAGCGCCATCACTGAGGCAAAGATCCTTAGCTGGGAAGTGATTGCTTTAAAGTGGATAATCAATTCACTTTGCACAAGTTGCAAAGGTAGGTAGTCATGGAATTTTAAAAATTAACTCTTAGTAAAACTTTTTAAGAATTGAGATTAATGTCAGATGACAATTTTGAGCATGGTAGAGAGAAACAAATAAAAAAAACAAACTAAAATGGAAAAAATATTTGACTAGTGCTGCCTGTTGTAGGACCCAATTTGGAATTTGTAATGTTAACTGTTAAGAGAATATAAGTATTCTTGTAGATAATAAATTAGTAAGGATATTCTTGTATATAGTTTGTTAGGT